ATCTTAATTTGGAATCCTGTTCTTTTTGTGGAAAACTGGCTTCCATGCCATTTCCTTCATGAACACATTATCCCAGCTTTAACCACCCTCCTTGGTAACTTGTTCCTGCTGCTTCTGTGGTCAGCGAGTCAGCTGCCTTCAGCCAATCTTTCATCAAGCGCAAACCCAACCTCATACCATTATGAGGAGTGGCTTGCCCTTGATGAAATTCTGGCTTAAGGCAGCTGTCTATTCACTGGAAACTGTAGGGCTGTGAAGCTCATACCCAAGTTCTTTCCCTGTCATGCCTTTCTCTCATCTCTGAGTCAGAAGGTTGTGGGTTGAAGTCCTTGCTAGATTCTTAGGAACTGATATAGTCTAAGTTGACCCACCAATGTGATGCTGGGGGCGGGGGTGTTACGTTGTTGGAGATGCCATTCTTCGGATGTTGAGCTGAGATCCCATCTGCTTGTTCAGGTGGAAGTTAAAGATCCCATGGCATGACTCGAAAAGCGAAGGGAGTTTCTCTCTCCTGATGTCCTGGCCATCAATCCCCCAAATAAAATTGATCACTCACTTCATGGCTGTTTTGGGGACATGGCTGGTGCAGATTGAGTTAACCCACAAAATACAGTCACTACACCACACTTGTTTATCCTGTGAAGTACTTTCAGATGTCTCAGCGATTTGATAAGGCGCTGTATCAAATGCTGAGATTATCATTATAATTGTACGATTATTTATTTGTGCAAAGAATATATTTTGAATAACCAGCACAAAATAGCTAAGTTGCCTTGTCTGGGAATGCTGTTGGTATGAATCACTACCCTTATGTATTGTGTAGCTTGTAAGGGGAGGGAGGGGGAATCCAATAGGAATGCATCATTAAGCAGACACATTTTTATTTAATCACTCACCTCCTGCTGACATTCACAAAACACAAGTGGAAAAGGATCTAGATTACATTCCTTCTCTGTTTCTTAAATGAGTCAGTGCCCTGGCCTGAATTGCCTTTCCTGGTCACACCTTCCTACTGACAATTAGATAAATTAGTAACCTTTGATTTTGATACAGTGACTTTCTCTGTAAAGTGTAGTAACTGTGTATTTTGTTTGTTAGTGATCGTGGCAGCCATTTTGCGCACAGCTCATCACCAACAAACAGCCGTGAAGTGAATGACCAGTTTTATCTGGGGGATTGTTGGCCAGAACACTGAGAGACCAAATCCTTCTCTTTTTAGATAGTGTCAGTATTCCTGCACTAGACTCCACGCGTCCATCGCCCCATCCTCCCCGGCTCCCCATCCCCCAGCAGATCAAGTTCAAGATCTTCACCTGTACCTTTAAATCCTTCCATGGTCTTGCCCCACTCTGTGACCTCCTCAGCACTGGCTTGCTTTAGGTCCCCGGCCACATGTGCCCCACCATCGGTTGTCGGGTTTTCGGAGTATCTGCCTCCACCCTCTGGAACTCCCAGATTCACCCTTCGATTCGCCCCTTCCCTCGCTTCCTTCAAGGTCTGCCATAAATCCTTCCTCTTTGATCGCGATTTGGCCATCCTCTCCCCGCTCCCCATATCCCTGTCGCCCACCCCCTGCTTGGATGAAAATGTTTGACTTAGAACGTCCTCCCGACATGAAAGGCACTTTATAAATGTAGATTTGTATTGTCATATTGTCACGGTATCTTTAACATCCATCTGAACAGACACAGATGGGATCTCTTTGTAAAGAAATACTTGATTATAAATGTGTACAAGTAGGAGGTCATTTTGACCTGTTGCATTGGAATGTCAGCCTGAACTATAAATTGAAAGACCTAATATAAGACTCAAACCCTCAACCCAGAGGTGAGAGTGCTGCCAGCTGAGCCAGACTGACACCTTTATTCCAGTGAAAAATTACCGTAATGGAGTATTTGTAAGACTCATTGTATAAATCTTCATTTCTTTGGTCAGCTGGGTGTCTGGTGCATGTGGAAACCCACCACCATACTTAAGAATATCCAAACCAGACTGAGAATTAGCATATTACAGCACATAAACAGACCATTTGGCCTAACTGGGCCACGGTGGTGTTTATATCTCCACACAAGTCTCCACGCCTCCTTTTCCCCTTCCTCTGTTCATCCCATTCAGCTCCTGTTAACCCTGCAAGCCAAAACCCTAATGGATAGGTTGAGTCCTAGCCGGACAATAATAATCTTTACATTAGAATACATTAGGCGGCCTAACTGGTCTATGTTGGTGTTTATGCTCCACATGAGCCTCCTCCTGCCCTTCCTCAACTAAGCCTTCAAGCATAACCTTCTATTCCTTTCTCCTTCATGTACCTATCTAGCCTTCCCTTAAATACATCTATGCTATTTGCCTCAACAACTCCTTGTGGTAGAATGTTCCACATTCTCACTACTCTCTGTGTGAAGACATTTCTTCTAACTTCCCTATTTGATCTATTTGTGACTATTTTATATTGATGGCCCTTGGTTTTGGTCTCCCCCACAAGTGGAAACATTTCATAATTTTTAAGACCTCTGTTAGGTCACCCTTTACCCTCCTTTTCAAGAGAAAAGAGTCCAAGGATGTTCAGCCTTTCCTGATAGGTTACATTTGATATAGCGCCTTATCACGTCTTCGAGACGTCTCAAAGCGCTTCACAGAATATATTGTAAAGTGAATTGACTGGATACTTTGTGGGCGAAACGCGGCGGGAAAGCTTGTCAAACAGCAATATCAATGGCAAGCTATGGTTTTAGCTGTTCAGATTCCAGAAGTACCCCAACACACACTCTGGAGGCCTCAAGCCTTGGCTCTTGCCAGACTACTTTCTGGAATTAGGTAAACAGGATTTGTCCCTCCAGGGAGAGAGCGCACATTCCATTCCAACAATCTATCGCTGGGATTTCCATGTGTAGATGGGATGCATGGAATTCTCAGTTTGGTTTGGATATTCTTAAACATGGTGATAAACATTAAACTCTTTCTGCATGTGACAGACACCCTTATCCCTTATGTATGCAACAAATTTTCTATTTGCTTCAACCACAACTTCCTGCAGTTGTTCCACATTTTCTGCATAAAGAAGTTCCATCTAAACTCCCTATTAGATCTACTACTGCCTAGCTTATATTTATACCCTCTAGTTTTGAACTTACCAAGTGGAAACATCAACATCCACCATATCAAATCCTTTCATAATTTTTAACCCCTCTAGTGGGTCCTTTCTCTATTGGAGTCCTGTAGCTCAGTGGTTAGAGCACTCGCCTTGCAATTGAGATACCGGGGTTCAGTTCCAGGCAGGGCGAAACCTTGGGCAAATTTCCTTACTCCTCGCCTTACTCTAATAATAATCCCTCCAAAAAAATAATAAATTGGTCATTTTCAATCCACGACTGTTTGTGGGACACTGCTGTGCGCAATTGGCTGCCGCGTTTCGCCCACAAATATACAGTCAATTCACCTTACCACATATTCTGTGAAGAATTTTGAGACATCTAGAAGACTTGAAAAGCACTATATCAAATGCAAGGATTATTATTATTATTATTGTCTCAATTGTCTCCTCTCCAGAGAGAAAGCTCTAACCTATGCAATAGTTCTTGACAGCTGTATTCCCTCATAAACTGGTACCATCCTTGTAAATCTAAGGTGCCCTTTCTCCAATGCTGCAATATCCTTCCTGTAACATAGTAACCAGAACTGCACGCGGTATTCCACATGTGATCTAACCAAAGTTCTATATAAATGTGACCTTACTTCCCTGCTCTTATATCCTGTGGCTCTGGACAAAAAGCCAAGGACTCTATTTGTGTTCCCAAGGCCTTTTTCATCTCTGCTGCTACTATTAGAGCCTGATAAATCTGAATGCCTAGTTCATTTTGTTACTGCTTACCTATTTCTGGAAAGTAGGTGCATGTTGTCTAAGGATTAGGTACCTCGGATTGTGCATTCCTGTAGTTTAATAATAATAACAATATTAATCCTTGCATTTAATATAGTGCTTTTTCATATTATTGAGACGTTTCAAAGAGCTTCACAGAATATACTGCAAAGTATATTTGTGGGCGAAATGTGTCAGCCAATTGCGCACAACAGGGTCCCACAAACGTTGTGGATTGAGTGATTAACCACCAAAGCTTGTCATTGTGAGCATTGTCAGGCAAACTTCCTGCTGCTTTAACTATCATCTAAGTCATGGTGATGAGACAGGCTGGCTGGGCTGTCATCTGCAGTGTCCTGGAGACTGCGGACCTGCCTGGTTCAGGAACTGGACTAGAGACTGTCACAGAGAGTTGACTCAATTCGTTGAGGGACATTGGCAAATAGTCAGGTTCATTGTGAAGCCGCCTCTGCCTCCAGGGTGCTTGGCAACAGGTCATTATTGGCCGAAGCCCTCCTTGTAAGCAGCCTCTTCCTCAGTTGTTTAGATCCACCTCCACCTCACTGCTTCGTCGTGGGGGGGGAGCGGAGTTAAAATCATTCTCTCTGTACAGTAGTTGAGCCGCTTTCCTGCCAGACAGTAAAATGATGCGTAAAATCTCTTGGTCGGATATCTTTGGTATAACTACTTCGTGGTGCAATATAATAATAATAATAATAATAATAATAATAATAATAATGATAATAATAATCCTTGCATTTGATATGGGGTTTATCATGTTATTAAGACTTCACAAAGCAATTCACAAACTATATACTGTAAAGTGAATTGACTGTGTATTTTGTGGGTGAAACATGGCAGCCAATTGCGCACAGAAGTGCCCCACAAACAGTCATGGAGTGAGTCACCAAATTATTTATTTATTTGTTTAGGAGGGATTGTTACCCTCGGAAAGCAATTCGCCAATCGACTAACAACTGGGCTCCTACTTACTGCTTGGTGAACAGATGCGTGTGGAGTAAGGAAACTTGCCTCAGGTTTTGTCCAGCTTGGGAATAAACCCGGGTCCTCTCGCTTGCAAGGCGAGGGCGCTAACCACTATGCTATTTTTACTGATAATTCTGCTCAATCCCTCGCTCTGCAGTTTCCTTAGAAGGAGAGCTTGGACGGTATGCAAAGTTGTGAAGTATCTTCAGACGGTGCAGATGATCCTCTCAGTTGTGGCTCACAGAGAAGACGACAACCTCGAATTGTGATTATCGGTGCTGGGCTCGCTGGCCTGTCTGCTGCTAAACAGCTTCTGGAGAATGGCTTTTCCCACGTCACGATTCTAGAAGCTTCTGAGCGAATTGGAGGAAGAGTGCAAAGCGTTAAACTTGGTCAGTTTTGACAGCACACATTGCCATCTCTGCCTTCTTTCCCTCCCCTTCAAGAGTCTCTGGGGTGTGAGGTGCCCTGACCACTGAAACGATAATAATAGCAATCTTGCACTTGATATAGTACCTTGTCAAGGCGTCGAGATGTCTCAAACACTGCACAGGATACACCGGATATCAAGTAGAGTGACTTTTCTTTGGTAAATGTTGCGGCCAATTTGCACACAATGTCTTAACAATAACCATGATTTCAATTGACCCAATTTTATTTTGGGGGATTGTTAGCCAGGACACCAGGAGAGAGAAACTCCTTTCTCTTTTCGAATAGTGCTGTGGAATCTTTAATGTCCACCTGAACAGGCAGATGGGACCTTGGTTTAAGGACGGGTATCTTTTGCATTAATTCCTGGATGGAGTTGGTTGCTTGCTCATCCCTGTTTGCGGGGCATTGACCTGAACTGATTTGCTGCCTTGCTCGCCTGCGGAGTGAACAGTCGCTGCACTTTCCAGTGAAAGTCCTGTGAAGTACTTTGAGATATCTCGACAATATGATAAGGTGCTGAATCAAGTGCAGGAATTATTATAGTAAACTCCTGAGATCTTAAGTTATCATGCTGGCATTCTCCTGGCCTCATTTATTTATGTATTCATACATATGCTTAACTTGCCACTCCAGATAACTCATCACTGAGCCCTTTCTCTTGGAGAGATGAGTTATCAAGAGTTTAGTGTATATAAATGCAACCATAAAATGTTTACAGCACAGAAGGAGATCATTTGGCCCATTGTGTCTGCACTGATGCTAATTCCCCTACCAGAGATATCTTCACTGATACCTTTTCCTTCTCATGTGCCTTCTCTGCACTTTTTACATTTATTTCCTTGGGGTTTCATCCCCATCCTCAGGTCACGCCTGTAGACCTTCCTCTTTGACCGTGCCTATGATCACCTCCCCCTCCCCCCTCACCCCGCTCCCCCCCCCCCCCCCCAACTCGGCGTCGTGCTCCACCACTGTCAAGCGCTCTGGGATGCTACCCTGCTTTAGGGACGCTATATAAATTGTTAAATAAATGTAAATTGTATTATAAATGTATTTTTCTCTCTCTTGCTCTTTCTCCTCTCTTTGCTCACTTGTCTTTTTTCTTTCTCTCTCTTTCTCCTCTATTCTTTTTCCTCTCTCTCTCTCTCTCGCTCTCTCTTGCTCTCTCAGGCTGTGCTACATTTGAGCTCGGGGCTACCTGGATACACGGTGCACATGGGAACCCGGTTTACCAGCTAGCAGAAGATCATGGTCTCCTTGAAGAAACTACAGATGGAGAAGGAAGTATTGGCCGCATCAGCCTCTACTCAAAGAATGGGGTGGCCCATTATTACACTAGCAGCGGCAAGAGAGTGCCCAAGGATTTTGTTGAAGAATTCAGAGATGTGTATAATGAGGTTAGATCATGTTACTACTTTGGTGGAGTGCACCAAACTACTTTTACTTTTTCAGAACCTAAATGTTTTAAAGATTTCATCTGTTCAAAAATACATCCTGGGGTTTCGAAAGGATGGAAATCGGGTGGGCCATCAGCCTCTCTGCTCCCACCCTTTGGAACTTCATCCCACAGTCCCTTTGCCTCACCCTCTCCCTTTTCTCCTTCAAGGCAGGTCTCAAGACGCACCTCTTTGACCGTGTCTTCAGTCACCCGCCTACCCCCACCCGCCCTGCCCTCCACCCCTCCTGATCCCAACCCCCAGCTTGGGTCCAAATCCCTGCCTACCTTGGGATGTGCTCCTGATGTGAAAGGTGCTTTACAAATGTAATTTGTTGTTGTTGTTGAAGTCACTCCAACTTCCCTCCCCTCTTTTGAGGCTCGTCTCGAGATGTACCTTTTTGACCATGCTTTCTGTCTCTTTTTCCCTTCATACCCACCACCCCAACTCCCACCCCCAGCTCAGGGGCTCAGCTGGCAGTGTCAAATTGCTTAGAGACATCCTCCTGGCATGGAAGGTGCTGTATAAATGTCAATTGTATTGTATTTCTTCAAGTTCTTTGTTTACTCTGCATTTGTAGTGCATCACCTCAATGGAACTTTTACAGTACTAACCGCCCAACCTCCTGCCTACACAGTCTTTAAGACTTCCCAACATTTTCTTCTCCATAGGTCTATGACCTGACACAGGAGTTCTTCCAACATGGCAAGCCGGTTGGTGCAGAAAGCCAAAACAGTGTTGGCGTATTCACACGGAATGTGGTGCGGAACCGCCTCAAGGCTGATCCTGATGACTCGGAGAGCACCAAGAGGCTGAAGCTGGCGATGCTCCAGCAGCACTTGAAGGTAAGAGAGTTACTTAGAAGGGCTTCATTTAGCTCTATCTCCAGTGGCTACATGGAGCTTTAGTAATAATAATAATAATCCTTACATTTGATATAGCGCTTTTCCCGTCGGGAGGACGTCCCAAAGCGCTTCACAGAATATACTGTAAGGTGAATTGACTGCATATTTGTGGGCGAACGCGGCAGCCAATTGCGCACAGCAATGTCCCACAAACAGTCGTAGATTGAAAATGACCAATTTTATTATTGTTTTTGGTTTTTGGAGGAATTATTATTAGGGTTGTGGCGTAAGGAAACTTGCCCAAGGTTTCGCCCTCTGCCTGGAATTGAACTCAGGTCTCTTGATTGCAAAGCGAGTACCCTAACCACTGAGCTACAGGACTCCGACTACAGGACTAGGAGCATTTATTTGGTCAGCTGGGTGTCTTGACACATGCGTCGGTTTAGTTTGCTTCAATAATAATAGTAATAATTATAATAATGTATTTGATACTGAGCCTTATCATGTAGGCAAGATATCTCAAAGCGTTTTGTAGGATTTTACTGTGAAGTGTAGTGACCGTGTGTTTGTAGGTGAACGCAGCAGCCAATTTGCACACAACAATGTTCGAAAACAGCCATGAAGTGTCTGATCGATTTTATTTGGGGGATTGTTGGCCAGGACACCAGGATAAACGTTCTTATCTTCAGTGCCTTTGTGTGTCACCCTGGCTCAGTGGTTGTGCTCTCATCTCTGAGTCAGAAGTTCAAGCCGCACATTGGGATTTGGAATCACATAGTCCTAAAATGACACTCCAATGCCTGGGAGGGTAGGGGGTGGTATTGTTGGAGGTGACGTCCTTCGGATGAAATGTTAAACTGAGGTCCCATCTGCCTGTTCAGATGAACGTTAAAGATCCCATGGCACTATTCGAAAAGAGAAGAAAGTTTCTTCCGGTGTCCTGGTCAACGATCCCTCAAACAGAATTGCTCACGCACTCCATGGCTATTTGTAGGACAATGCTGTGTGCAAATTGGCTGTTGAGTTTCACCCCCAAAATACACAGTCACTACACTTTCGGGTATGGGGGGATGCCCCCACCTCAGGTCTACGCCTTCTAACCCTGCCTCCCTTCCCACACCGGCAGGTGGAGAGCTGTGAGAGCAGTTGCCACAGTATGGACGAGGTGTCCCTGAGTGAGTTTGGCGAGTGGACCGAGATCCCCGGTGCCCACCACGTCATCCCCAGCGGCTTCGTGAACATCGTGGAGATCCTGGCTTGCGACATCCCCGAGTCTGTCATCCAGCTGCACAAGCCAGTCAAGTGCGTGCGCTGGAACCAGTCGGTCAGCAAGGAGATCCACTGTGTACGCAGCTCCTTCCCCGACCACAACCGCGATGGGCAGGAGGATGAGGAGGAAGAGGAAGGCTACCAGGTGTCAGTGGAGTGCGAGGACTGCGAGGTCATCTTAGCCGACCACGTTATCGTGACCATGTCTCTCGGGATGCTGAAGAAGTTTCATGAGACCATGTTTCGGCCAAGCCTGCCCCATGAGAAGGTCTCAGCCGTCCAGATGCTGGGGATCAACACCACCGACAAGATCTTCCTGGAGTTTGAGGAGCCCTTCTGGGGCCCCGAGTGCAACAGCATCCAGTTTGTCTGGGAGGACGACGCGGAGACCGAGAGCCTGACATACTCGGAGGAGCTGTGGTACAAGAAGATCTGCAGCTTCGACGTTCTCTACCCGCCTGAGCGGTATGGCCACGTGCTGAGTGGCTGGATCTGCGGCGAAGAGGCCATCATCATGGAGAGGTACGATGATGAGATAGTGGCCGAGACCTGCACCGATCTTCTGCGAAGATTCACAGGTTACTAAATTTTTGTGTTTCTTTTAAAGATTTTTTTTCTTTCCCCCACGTCTGCCCAATCTCCTTCTTGAGATTCCTGAAATTGGATTGATGGAAATTGGCGATCCACCCGATCCTAGCTTGTGATTATCCGGTTGTGGCTCCTTACCGCCCTTTCCCCCACCACCTCTTCCACTGGAGTTCCCGGTGCAGGAGTGAAATGCAGAGTGGAGTCCGGTAGCGCAGTGGTTAGAGCACTCGCCTCGCAAATGAGTGGACTTGGGTTTGCTTCCCGGGCAGGGTGAAACCTTAGGCAAGTTTCCTTGCTCCACACACCTCTGTTTACTTAGCAGTAAGTAGAAACCCGGTTGTTAGTTAATTGGCGGATTGTTTTCCGGAGCTAATAATCCCTTCAAAATAAATAAATTGGTCACTCAATCCACGACTGTTTGTGGGACACTCCCGGCGCAATTAGCTGCTGTGGTTCGCCCACAAAATATTCGGTCAATTCACTTTACAGTATATTCTGTGAAGCCCTTTGAGACATCTCAATGATGTAATACGGCATTATCAAATGCAAGGATTATTATTATTATAAAAGTTTCCTCTCTTTTGAATGGATTGCTCCTGCAAGTGATAATCTCATCGGCAAATATTGAGCCTTTGTACTGTGCTCGCCATGTTTTCTCTGGCCGCATTTTCTTCCCCATCTGCTCTCATCCCCTCGAATCCACCATCAATGAGTAAGCTTTCAGCTCCTTGGTGTCCTCTGGGAAATCTCTCCCAACATCTCGTAACTTGGCACCATTTCCCCTTGTCTTCAAAACTCATTTAAACCCCACCTCCTTGACTGTACCACCTTACTCTGAATTCCAGAAAGTATTAAGCACAGGTTGGTAAGAGCCAGCCTTGGGGACCCCTGAGTGTGTGTTGGAATACTGAAGAGTCTAACCAGCTTGTCCAGCGAGGACCACCCTACCCATCAGGGCTCTGGATTGTAGGGTTAATAGGAGCTGAGTTGGATGACTCCCTGCCCCTGTGTCTGGTCTGTCCTTCCAAGTCCTCCTGATGATCCAGTCTGGCTGTGTTGTCGTCAGCAGTGCCCTGGAGTACTGTGGACCCCCTGGCTCAGGAACTGGACTACCGAGACCGTCACAGAGAGTGGGCTTGATTCAGATATTCCGTTGCCAGTTCAGCTCCAAGAAGATCACGTTCCAGGCGAAAGTCCCGGAGGATGCCTGGCACATTGGACCCGTAGAAGGAAGAAATAAAAAGGAGTTATAACATACTCAAACGAGAAGGAGTGGAGGGGAAACATTGGTGGAAGAAATGATTCTTATAGGGCTTCCATCCACAATACTTGTGGATGTAGCACTGTGGACCATCCCATCCCCTAACTGATGCACTGCATATTGTCGGCATGTACATCATACAACGTTGGCTTGAGGGGGATGTGGAGGAGGGAGTGGGAAGAGAGAGTTCAAACTCTTCTGTTCACAATTCTATTCACCTACCACTTCCTTTGTATCTTGACCTGCTATTATATTATTTATAATAATAATAATCCTTGCATTTGATATTGCGCCTTATCACGCAATTGAGACGTCTCAAAGTGCTTCACAGGGTATACTGTAAAGTGGATTGATTGTGTATTTTGTAGGCAAACAAATTTCCCCATATACAACAACAACAAAATTACATTTGTAAAGCGCCTTTCACGTCGGGTGTATGTTTCAAGGCGCTGGACAGTCAGTGTTTCAGACCCGAGGTGTGGGTTGGGATTGGGGAGGGTGGAGGGCAAGGGGGGAAGGAGGGTGATTGAAAGCATGGTCGAAGAGGAGAGTCTTGAGATGGGTCTTGAAGGAGGCAACGGAGGGGGCGAGGTGGAAGGACTGCGGGATTGGGTTCCAGCGGTTGGGGCAGAGTGGCAGAAGGCCCGTCCGCAATGGTGGGGCAGGCGAGGTGGGGGATGTGAAACAGGCCGGAGCCCTCTGAGCAGAGGGAGTGCGGGGAGTGGTAGGGGGTTAGGATGCTGCACAGGTAGAGGGGATTGAGGCCATGGAGCGCTTTGAAGGTGAGGTCCAGGATCTTGAACTGTGTCCACTAAGTGATGGGGAGCCAGTGGAGTCGGGCGAGGATGGGGGTGATAGGGTCACAGAGTCTGGTGCGGGAGAGGTCATGGGCTGCAGAGTTCTGGATGTTCTGCAGTCTATGGAGCAAGGCGTTTGCATAGTCAAGCCTGAATGTTATGAATGCGCGTATGAGGGTTTTGGTGGCCTGCGGTGTGAGACAGGTGCGGAGCTGGGCGATGTTGTAGAGATGGGGGAAAGCAGAGCGTGTTATGGCACAGATGTGGGGTAGAAAGGATAGTTGAGGGTCAAACCAGACCCCAAGGTTCTGGACTGGCTTAGGGAGGTGGAGTGTGCAACCATAGATGGTGATGCTGTCAACGCCTGAGGCGAGGAGTCACTGACAGCCAATCAGGAGAGCCTCAGTTTTGTTGACGTTCAACTGAAGAAAGTTCGCTCTCATCCAGGACTTGATGTCTGACAGACATTCTGTCAGGACAGCAATGGTCCTGGAGTCAAGGGTGGAGGCAGAGAGTTACAATTGGGTGTCATCCGCATACATGTGGAAGTTGAACTCATGTCTGCGGATGATGTCACCAAGAGGGAGTATATAAATATTGAAGAGGAAGGGGCCAAGGACAGAGCCCTAGGAACACCATACAAGATGGTGCGGGGGATAGAGAAGAAACCGTTTGTGAAGATGAAGTGGAGGCGGTGTGAGAGGTACGATTTGAATCCTTCAAGGACAGAACCATGAAGGTTGAGGTGAGAGGAGAGACGGTGGATGCGGATTAACCATGGGTAATGGTGTCAAAGACAGCAGAGAGGTCAAGAAGGACAAGGAGGCAGAGGGAGCCCTGGTCGTAGAAGGAAAGAATGTCATTTGTCACTTTGACCGGGGCTGTTTCTGTGTTTTGGGCGGCATGGAGGGGAAGGGAGTGGTGGGAGAGGAAGGATCAAAGTTGGGAGCTCATTCCAGGTCCTTGGAGAGGAAAGGGAGGTTGGAGATGGGGCAGTAGTTTGAGAGCAGGAATGGGTCCAGGGAGGGTTTTTTTTAAGGATAGGAGTGATGACGGCCGTTTTTAAAGGGGTGGGAACAGTATCAGTGGACAGGGAGAGGTTTATGATGCTTGTGAGCAGAGAGGCAAGGAGGTGGAGCTGGGAGGTAAGGAGAGGGTAGGGATGGGGTCGAGGGAGCAGGTGGTCGATTTCATGTGGATTATAGTGGTGGTGAGAAAGGAGTGGGAGACAGGTTCGAAGGTGTGCTGGGAAGGATGGGTAGGGGCCGGGGTGAGAGAGGGAGATATGGGGAGGGCGTAGTAGATGGAAGGGCAGAGACAGCTTAGTGGATACCCTCGACTTTGGATTCGCCTTGCAGCTGGCTTTGGAGGTAAGGATGGGCGAGGCATGAGAGTGTGGATGGAGAAGCCGATTGGTGATGGAGAAGAAGAGCATGGGGTTGTCCTTGGTCTCCAAGATTGTCTGGGAGTAGAACAACGATTTAGCGGAGGTGAGGGCAGAGCGTTAAGATTTGATAAGGTCCAGCCAGATCTGCCGATGGACCGTTAAATTAGATTTAAGACATGGCGTTCAGCGCCATGCACCTGTGCTTTAAGGGAGTGGAGATGGCTGATGGATCATGGTTTACTTTTGTGATTAGGAGGTGGTTCGGGAAGTGAGGGGAGCAAGGGAATCGAGAGTGGAGGAGAGGGAACTGTGGAGGAGAGTGAGGAGGATAGGTCATTGCTGGAGGAAGCCCAGAGGGGGGAGGAGTTCAGATGACTCCCAAAGCAGTTGAGAGGGGTGGGGGGAGGGGGGGGAGTCCTTTTTTGCAGAATCCTGGCCAGTCCTCCAAATACAAATTGGTCACTCACTCCATAGCTGTTTGTGGGACAATGCTGTGCAAAACTGGCTGAGGAGGGGAGGGATGGGGCAAAGCGTGTACAAAATCACAGTCAATCAGATAGTTCTTCAGGTGGGTTTTGAAGGTGGAAGGGTGTAGCGATGGGAAAGGGGATTAGAGTTTGGTGTTGGAACCCTCTCCCATTGGATATGGAAGTTTAGTATTAAACTTGCTGCTTGAAGTCTGGTGATGCTGCCAATAAACTGATCCAAAAGGAAAAGGGTTTTGAAATATCAGAATGCAAAGGTTAAATGGGTGATTTTGCTGTATTTCTATGCCGTGGTATACATGTAGCATAGGCACGATGGGCTGAATGGCCTCCTTCTGTGCTAGAATCAGGAATATTCTATGAATACTTCATATTTGATACAATGCCTTTCATGTGGGATTAAGTCTCCAAGCACTTTGTAGGCTAACACAAAAAAGCCAATTTTGTGCTCTGAAATGTCCCACAAACAGTCAGGGGGATTGTTGGCCAGGACACCATGACAAACTCCTTTCTCTTTTCAAATAGTGCCATGGGATCTTTAAAGTCCAGTTGACTAGGCAGACTGGACCTCGGTTTAACGTCTCATCTGAAGGAAGGCCCACTCAAGTTCAGCACACCCCCAGGCTTCCATTAGAGCATCAGCCTAGACTATACGAGTTGAGCACCTGACATGGGGCTTGAATCCACAACAACAACGAATTGCATTTATATAGTGCCCTTCATGTAGGGTAGTGTCTTGGAGTACTTAACCATGGCAGAACTTAATGCTGAGCCGGGAAGAAAGGGGTGATGACTGTAGAGCAACCAGAAGTTCTCAGGTGTGGCCTGGACACAGCTCTGTGTGGAGAATGTGACATGACTTCTTGTTGTGATGATTTGTTGAGCTTTATAATCCGACTGGGGTTCTCTGTATTTTGAACGCACTTTACAATTCTCTTGGCAGGTAATCCAAACATTCCCAAACCTCGGAGGATGCTGAGATCCAGGTGGGGCAGCAACCCTTACATCCGGGGATCGTATTCCTACATTCGAGTTGGGTCGAGTGGAGCTGATGTGGAGGAGCTTGCAAAGCCATTGCCTTATCCAGAAAGCACAAAAGCCACTGTAAGTACATTTACAATAATGCTTGCATTTGATAAACAGTAGAGTAGGTTGTGAGTTCAAGAACTGCATTGTTGGAAGTTGCGTCTTTTATACCAGGGAGTTTTTCGCGGAGTCCTGGCCAATCCTCCTGATAAAAATTGGTCATCAACTATATGGCTGTTTGTGGGAGATCATTTTGTGCAAATTGGCTGTTGTGTTTGCCTATAAAATACAGTCATTACACTTCACAGTAATATCCTGTGTAAACATCTCAATGACGTGATAAGGCAATTAGATTAGCAGGCTAAAGCAGACAACATCCATACATATAAAACCAAAGAGGTAATGATAAACGTTAGTCCGACTTCAGTTAGAATATCGGATCCAGTATTTGATCTCTTTAGGAAAGACATCAAGGCTGAGAGGTTATAAAGGCAATTTACTAGGTTGATACCAGGGATGAGTGTTTTGGCCTATTCGTAGAGGGAGTTACTGCTGGAGTTTAAACATCTAAAACAGCTAGGATGTAGGATGTTTTAGATGGTTAACCAGTCATCCGTCAGTTGGTGTTGCAGGGTTAACAGGAGCTGAGTCGGAAAAATCCCAGGCCCCCATGACTGTTCTGAATGTAAAAAAGGAATGCCATTTTATTAAATCGTACAGGGCATTACTCTGGTCAACTTTGGACAATTTTAGTATATTCACAATTCGAGGAACATTGGAGAGTTTAGGCTGGTTGAGCTGAGTCTCAGTCAAACAATCAGTTTCTGGAACGAAGAGTGTTTATGGACTCAGTGAATTGTCCTTTGTTCCATTCTACTCCCACCCAAGGCACTGACTCATGCTGATATATAATGGGATATAATACTATGGTTCCGTGGTTGCCAACTATCATTCAATCCCTTGTTCCAATAGCTATTTGTGTGTACAAGACGATGCCATGGGAGTCTTCATTTACGCTTATTGCTTTTTTCGCCCACAAAACAGTTTTTTTTCCTTAAAAAAATACAGTCAACCCACTTTACAATATATTCTGTGAAGTGGTTTGAAACATCTCAACGTTGTGATGAGGAACGATATCAAATGCAAGGATTATTATTATTACACTTACTGCTTTGGATTTATAATGGCAAATCACAACAACTTGCATTTATGCAGCGCTTTTCACACAGAATTAGCACCTTGTAATGCTGCACATGGTGGGGGTGGGGTGTTTGATGCAAAGCAAGGGATAGAGGTTGGTGAGTATAGAGGTCAAAGTGGTAGGTCTTCAAGTGTGATTTATATGTCACAGTGGGATATCATAGTGAATACGTTTTAATAAGAACATAAGAAATGCGAGATGAAAAAAGACCAAGGCCCATCTAGTTCGCCTTCCACCTTCCTGGTGGTCGCATGCACATATGTCCTGAGCTACCTATGTACTATATCCCATAATGTTATTTCCTAAAAGAAAACTATCTAATCTGTGTTTGAAAGAATCAACACTTCCTGCTTCAACTGTCTCCCTAGGGAGCCAGTTCCACAGGTTCAGTATTTGCTCCCTGAAATGGTGTTTGTGTAGATTCGTTCTGAATTTACCCCAATCACAGGCCGTGTCCTCTGGTTTTACTATTCCGGACAAGTTGAAACAGCCTGTCATGATCTATATCATCTTACCCCTTTAGAATCTTAAAGACAGCAACCGTGTCGCCTCTCAATCTCTTTTCCAGCGTGTACATGCCTAATTTACTTAGTCGCTCCTCATAGTCTGGTCCTTCCATTCCCTCAATCATTTTGGTTGCCATCCTCTGTATCTTCTCGATTTCCCCAATATCCTTTTTGTACTCCGGCGACCAGAACTGTACACAGTGCTCTTAAGGGCCCTCCTGATTGGCTCGCCGCACCTCAGGCGCTGGCAACATCAGCATCCATGGCTGCACACTCACCTCACTAAGCAGTCAGGAACCTGGGTGTCTTGTTTGATCCTGAACTGTCCTTCTGTCCTTTCTCCCCCACATCCGCGCCATGACCGGCACTGCCTACCACCACCTCCGCAACATTGCCAGACTCCGCCACTGCCTCACCCCTCAGGCTGCCGAAACCCTTGTCCATACATCGGCCTTCCCCTCCTCATCGGCCTTCCCAACTCTTCCCTTCACAAGCTGCAGATCATCCAAAAATCTGCAGCCCATGTACTCTCACGCACCAGGCTCCGTGACCTCATCACTCCCACCTTTGCCCGACTCCACTGGCTCCCCATCCCTCAGAGGATTGAATTCAAGATCCTCATCCTCACTTTCAAGGCCATCCATGGCCTTGCCCCCTCCTGCCTCTCTGACCTGCTGACTCCCTAACAACCTGCCCACTCTCTCCGTTCAGCGGGCTCTGGCCTGCTCCATGTCTCCTGCCCGACCCACCCTACCATCGGTGGCCGGGCTTTCAGCCTCTCTGCCCCCACACTCTGGAACTCCATCCCACAGTCTCTTTGTCTTGCTTCCTCCCTTGCCTTCTTCAAGGTCGGTCTCAAGATCCTTCTCTTCGATTTTGCCTTTGGTCACCCTCCCATCTCTTGCCTCCCTCACCCCTACACCACCCCTCCCCCATGCTCGGGTCCTGACACCTGACTGTTCAGCGCTTTGGGACGTCCTCCTGACCTGAAAGGCGCTCTATAAATGTAATTTTGTCGTTGTTGTTGTACTTTACATTTCTTCAATTGAATTTCATCTGCCACCGATCTGCCCAATTCCCAAATATGTTCAAATCCTCTGGCAACCTATCTTGTTCAGCTTCACAATCTATCACCTTCATTAGCTTGGTGTCATCCGCAAACTTAGCCACTATGCTTGCAACTTCTAGTTCCAGATCATTTAATTAATTTAATGAATGATACTAGTAAATATGCAGTGTTTGTGTTCCGAAATTCCATTCATCGTATTCTTTCCCATTACATAGATGTGTCCTATTATATAGACTTTTCCCAGTATACTCACAAAGACAAGGTTACCAAGGCCAAAGGCGCTGATGAATGGAGCTCTCCATAGCTCAGCATCCAATCCCGGACTTGTAAAGCGCTCTGAGATGTTACCTTATGTGAATATAAATGCAGGTTGTTGTTGTTTTTATTCCAAGGGAGGCTAAGATCCTGAACTCATTGAAAATACAGTTCGACACTGCAGTGGTTAGTGAGGAAGGGATGAGATCAAATTATCCAACACCCTCTTATGATTTTCACACACAATGCACAGTCAATTCACTTTCCAATGGTTGCGTGAAGCGCTTTGAGACATCTCAACGACATGATAAGGTGCTATATCAGATGTACGGATTATTACATTATGATCTTTTTCTGCATCACTTTATCAATGACCGTCTTTGCCCCTCTTTGCAGCCTATGCAGATCCTATTTGCTGGAGAGGCGACACACAGGAAGTACTATTCAACTACTCATGGTGCTTTGCTTTCTGGCCAGCGAGAGGCTACGCGCCTCATAGAAATGTACCAAGACCTGTTGCGGGGGAAGGATGGACAAGATGGTCGCACCCAACAAACCACTTACTAGTGAAACGTTCTACTAACTGGACTCAGAGCGTGTGTTCATTGTACAATTTTTAAAACTAGAATATTTTAATTTGTTTAATAAGAGTTTTCTTCAATTCATCCCCCCGCTCCCCACCCCACCCCATGCAATCCATGTAAATCGTTATTTAACACTCTCTGCCTTGGTCATATTGACTGTCTTGGGCCTTGTTTAATTTTTAAATGATGGATGCACTTCTAATCTTATTTTGATTTTGTCCTCTGTCTCCCCACCTCTCTTTCTAATTATTTTACTTTCTCTTTCTTTTTCTCTCTCTCTCCTTCCCTTTCGCTCTCTCTTTATCGTTCTCTCTTTCGCTATCATTTCTTTTTCTCTTTCGCTCTCTTTCTCTTTCCCGCGCTTTCTCTCTCTCTCTCTCTCCCTGTAACGTTAAGTGCCTTCTTGTATTAAGTTATCATTCTAATAAAATGATGAGCATTATCGATATGTCGTTTGGAATCTGATGAACAAATGATGGTTGCGGGGAGACCTGAGCTTACCGGGGGAGTCCCGTAGTGTATTGGTTAGAGCACTCGAGAGACTTGGGTTCGATTCCTGGGTAGGGCGAAACTTTAGGCAAGTTGTCTTATTCAACACACCTCTGTTTACCTAGCAGTAAGCAGGAACCCAGTTATTAATTGATTTGTGGATTGCTTTCCAGGGTAATGATCCCTTCAAAATCATTACATAATAATTTGGTCACTCAATCCATGACTGTTTGTAGGACACTGCTGTGTGCAATTGGCTGCCACACATTGGCTACAAAACTAAAAAATTAAACAGTGATTAGGCACTATATCAAATGCAAGTATTATTACTATTATAATCCTCTGACCTTTCACACCCCAGGACCTCTGTGATCTTCTCCCACCCACTCTCCCGCTTGCCCTGAAACTCTGGAACTCTCTCCCTCAATCACTCCGCTTGCCCCCCTCTTTGTCCATTTTCAGATCGCACCTGAAAACTTTGCTCTTCGCCCTTTCCATGGTACCTTCCCTCTCTCCAGCTCGGCATCAAACAACGCCATTGTTCAACGCTCCAAAACCCTATTCAATGTAAAGTACGCTATATAAACACGCTCAACAGTTCTTGTGGGTTCATGTCACACGTTTGGGGAGAGCCCTGCATTATCAGAGCTGCCGACCTTCAGGTGAAATGTTAAACCGTCTGCCTGTTTGGGTGGATGTTAAAGATCCCATGGCACTGTTCGAAAAGAGAAGGGAGTTTATCCTCGTGTCCTGGCCAACAATCCCCCAAAATAAAATCAGTCACTCACTCCACGGCTGGACTAATAATGACTTTTGACTGAAATGCGGATTTGAAGACATTCTATTAAATACTCATGTAACCCACTCACTTAATTTCCTCCAAATGGATATCAGATTCTTTTCTGTGTTTAGAGATGTCCTCCTGACATGAAAGACGCCACATCACATGTTGCTAGCCCTACCTCATCTTTGTTTTCTATCAAAAAGATTACAACTTTTGCAATCAGACGGAACAATACAAAAAGCTGTACTCTTGATCTATGAGTGTAATTATCCTCTCATTCATACACACACATCCGCAAAGATAACAGTCAGTTTATCCGACAGTAGCTCTATTTTTGTCTTGTCGTTAGGGAGTGTTTCTCTGTAATGGCAGGTTTCATCTTCCATTAGCCACTGACGTAATTTATACCAAAGATTCTTGTGAATTTGTGGCTGGCAGCATCAAACAACAGGCTCAAAGCATATAATTAGTTTGGTCCTACAGTCATGTGACAATATAAAAAGTTCATCTTCTCTCCCACACACAGTGCCAACTGTTTTCTCTCACTCTCACTTGCTGTCTCAGCCTTTCTCATACACATAGCCACCTTTCTTTCTTGTCCTACTGCAGTTGTGCTGCATCGTGGAGTCCTGTAGCTCAGTGGTTAGAGCGCTCGCCTCGCAAAAGAGAGACCTGGGCTCAATTCCTGGGCAGGGTGAAATGTTAGGCAAGTTTCCTTACTCCACACGCCTCTGTTTACCTAGCAGTAAGTAGGGACCTGGTTGTTAGTCGATTCGCGGATCGCTTTTCCAGGGTAATAATCCCTCAAAAAAACAATAATAATTTGGTCACTCAATCCACGTATGTTTGTGGGACACTGCTGTGTGCAATTGGCTGCCGCGTTTCACCCCCAAATATAGTCAATTCACTTTACAGTACATCCTGGGAAGTGCTTCAAGACATCTAAAAGGCATGAAAAGCGCTAAAGCAAGTGCAAGGATTATTATATATATTGTCAGAGATGCCGTCCTTCAGATGACACGTTAAACCGGGGTTCCATCTGCCTGTCCGGATGGCCATTAAACGTCCCATTGCACTGTTCAAAAAAGAGAAAGAAGTTTCTTCTGGTGTCCTGGCCAATAATCACTCGATAGAAGTTGGTTATTCACTTCATGGCTGTTTGTGGGACAATGCTGGGTGCAAATTGGCTGCCATGTTCTCCCACAAAACACATAGGTTAATCCTTAATAACCTTAACAACATCCTTAATGCACTTTAAGGATCTGTAATAATAATAATCCTTGCATTTGATATAGCACCTTATCACACAGTTGAGAAGTCTCAAAGCATTCACAGAATATACTGTAAAGTAAATTGCCTGTGAAATATGGCAGCCAATTGCACACAGCAGTGCCCACGAACAGTTGTGGATTGAGTGAGCAAATTATAATTTTTTTTGAAGGGATTGTTACCCCTGGAAAACGATGTGCCAATCGACTAACAACCGTGTTTCTACTTACTGCTAGGTAAAGAGAGGTGTGTGGAGTAAGGAAAAGTTACATAAGGAATCAAACCCAGGTCCTCTCGCTTGCGAGGCAAGTTGCTAATGAATGCTCAACAAGAATCCACTCCATGTAAAAATCATTTAAGAATATTATTATACTCTGTGAAGCGCCTTGAGATGTGTCGACGACATGATAAGCTGCAGTATCAAGTGCAAGGATTAGTATAAAGATTGTTATATATCTACATGCCCAAAGCCTACAGGCAATGAGAACTCAAGCAGTTTGGTTAGTGTCAGGATATATAATAGAAAGTAATAGTCACTGAAGATCCTTAACTTCACTATGTGGAATAAATGCGTCAATGACTTTGACTAGATGTTACCCTTACAAGAGCTAACACAATCTAATTGAACAGCTCTTAATCTCCTGTGGGGATTTCCAGCTGGGGAAATGCATAGGTTCAAAAGCCACTGTTTCATCTTTGCTTCAAATCTTCCAGAAGTACATTGCGGGGTTTCAACATGTTCAAATCACTCAGCCATTCAAGTGTTAGAAAGTGGCAGAGGGACCCAGAGAGAAAAAGAAAGACTGTGAGAGAGAAAGAGAGAGAGCTATGACTCCAGTCATGATTAATTCATTGACGTTTTTCTCAATAAGAATTGCGAATTAAATTTACCAGAATGTCTAATAATATACATTGACTGAAATGTCAGATACGTCATTCTCACTGTGGCACTAAAAGTATTATCTCTAATCCACAGGGGGAAGTCGGGTCAGGTCAGGAAGCGGAACTCTCTGCCTCAAACCAATGTGGAGCATAAATTCATTGAAAAGGGAATTAGACAATAATAATAATAATAATCCTTGCATTTGACATTGTATCTTTCACATCAGGGGAACATCTCAAAGCATTTCCCAGGATTTACTGTGAAGTGTAGTGACTGTGTGGTTTGTGGATGAATACGCTCAATTTGCACACAGCAATGTTCTGGAAACAACATTAAATTATGTTTATATAACGCCTTTCACATCCCAAGCTGTTGGAAAGTCGAGGGTATGCACCTGAGTTGGCAAACATAAAGTGAATGAACAATTTTATTTGGGGGATTGTTGGTCAGGACTCCGGAAGAAACTCCTTCCTCTTTTTTGAATAGTGCCACAGGATCTTTCATGCCCACCTGAACAGGTAGACGAGGTCTCAATTTAACATCTCATCCAAAGAATGGCACCTCCGACAATGCAGCACACCCCTAGCAATGCAATGGACTGTCTAGCCTAGACTATCTGAGCTCTAAGTTCTGAAGTAGGGCTTGAACCCTTCTGAGAGGTGAGCGCTACCACTGAGTCAAGCTGACACATAATAGATTAGATAGAAGCATGAAGAACAGGAATATTAAGGGATCGTTGAGGGCGTTGGTCAAGTTAGGCCCATATTAGCTTTTAAGAGGGAACTATATACAGTAGATATGATACAGTATTAAGGACAGGTAACTATCTGAAATTGATGCCCACTAGTCACTGACTCACTGACCAGTGGAAATGATTTCTTCTTATGGATTCCATCAAAACCTCTCTTAATTGTAAAGACCTCCATCAGGTTTTCCTTCAACCTTCTCTGTTCCATTGAAAATAGTAGTTCAGTGGGAGGAATCCCTGTTCCTAGTGTCTGATCCGCCCTTTCAAGTCCAACAGGTGCATTAAGGCTGAGCTGGGGTGTCATCACCGACAAGAACAACAACAACTCCCATTTATATAGCACCCTTCACGCAGTGCAGCATCCCAGATCACTTAACAGTGGTGGAGCCTGATGCTGTGCTGGGGAGAGGGAGGTGACCATAAGCACAGTTGAAGAGTAAGGTTTTCATTTGTATTCTAAAAGAAGGGAAGCAGAGAGCAAGGTGGAGGGATTGAGGGAGAGAGTTCCAAAGCTTTACAGAGTAGTGACTGAAGGCACAGCCACAGATGGTAAAGGGGAAGAGGGTTGAGCAGTAGGCCAGAGCCAGCCGAGTGGAGGCAACGGATGGCAGAGTGCGAAGAAAGCAGTTTGGAAACGTAGGGAGATGCCAGACCGTGATGGGATTGGTAAACAAAATGTAGACATGAGCAGTGCCCTGGAATACTGAGGAGTCACCTGGTTTAGGAACCAGACGACTGAGACCACCACAGAGCTGATCCGACTTCTGACATACTGATATGAAATATGTTACTTTGGAGCTATCTGACCTCCCCCACGTCATCCTCCCCAAGAAAGATAAACAACGGTTGCTCATTGACATCTGAGAATCACAGCTTTGAGCTGTGATTCAGTGAATGGCAGGTAACAGGAACTCCCTGCAAGTTTCCTGGTGAGCATTGCAGCTCAGCATGACATCTGTCAGAGCTTTGATGACTACACAACAAAGTACAGTCCACGCACACACAGTGCTCTGGGCTCGGTGTGCCTTTCCGGTAGTTCAGTTTCCGTTCTCTGAATGGTAATTGCCTTCCCTTCCGCCCGCCTT